TTGGTTGCAGCCATCATTGTGGTTTGGGGGGCCCAGGCTGGGGACCTGAACCCGCCACCTTAGGTGTATGTGGCCGGTGCCCCAGCTGCTTGAGCCACAGGCGCCAAGCCCGCCCAGTTTTTTCTATTTTCTAATAGTAATATCAATAGTCTGAGAGACAAAACTTGATTTATTCTTTTCAAAACTGCCAAAGGTACATTACTAATTTCAAATGAAACATTTTCTAAACATCAGTAAGGCAGTATTCAATAGAACTCTTTAAAAATAGCTTTTATAGGGTGGCATCTGTGGCTCAGTGAGTACAGTGCCGGCCCCAAATATTGAGAGTGGTGCATTTGAACCCCACCCCGGCCAAACTGCAAAACAAAAAAATAGCTGGGCATTGTGGCAGTTGCCTGTAGTCCCAGCTACTCGGGAGGCTGAGGCAAAAGAATCACCTAAGCCCAGGAGTTGTAGGTTGCTGTGAGCTATGATGCCACAGCACTCTACCAAGGGCGATAAAATGAGGCTCTGTCTCAAAAAAAAAAAAAGTAGATTTTATAAATGTCAGCCAGGAACTAGAGGAGATTGGAATTCTATTCTAGCGTTATCATAAACTAACTCTATGATGCTGACAATTTAATAAACCTCTGTGGGCTCAGTATCCACATATATAATACAAAAAAGTTGGATTAGATAATCTCTAAATCATTTAGTTCTAAAAAGTCTAAATATATAACCGTTTTATCTCTATTCAATCTGGTATTTGCTCTCTCCCTTAGTATTATTGTGATGATAAAATGAGACAAGAGACAAAGTACAGTACTTCAATCTTTGCAAAATCAAGGAACCCTAGCAAAATCAGGACGAAAACAGAAGATTCTTCTCAGATACTTATCAGAAAATAGTCAATTATGTTTACTTATTTTTTTATTTTTTAATGTCACCCAGGCTTGCATGCAATGGTGTGATCACAGCTTACCATAGCCTCAAACTTCTAGGATCATATGATCCTCCTGCCTTAGCCTTCCATGTATCTGAGATTACAAGTGCATGCCACCATACCAGGCTAATTTTTAATTTTTTTTTAGAGAGATAGGGACTCACTATGTTTCCTAGGCTGATCTTGAACTCCTGGCCTCCTCCCCAAGTGCTGAGATTATAGGCTCGAGCCACCATATCCACCCAGAAAGTTATGTTGCATTGAAGGTTTTAAATAAGTAGATTCTGATTTTATAATTATTTTAACAATTAAAGTGTTGGTTTGGCAGGGAAAAAGCAAACCTTAGTTCCCAATTATTTATTATAGGTTTTAAAAATCGTGATCTACTATTGTTCTTGTTTTATTTTTCTTTAGAGCTGGGGCATTGCTATATTTCCCAGGTTGGTCTCAAGTAATCCTCCTGCCTCGAGCTCCCAAAGTGCTAGGATTACAGGTGTGAACTACCACACCTGGCCTTTTATTTTTTTTTTAAATCCCGAGCAACACCAAGAATAAAAGTACTATTTGATGATATGAAAAAGGAAATGTGAAAGTTGAAGTATAGTCAATAAAATCTTGTACCTTAGTCCCATTGAATGTCTCATTTACAATAAGTTGACAACCTTCTACAGCACCATCGCCATTAAACTCCAAGGCAATAACACGACCTATAAACAAACCCAAGAAGTGTTTTGTTAACATGAATACAATCATATTCTAAAATTTACCTTTTTATTCTTTCCTGAAGAATCTCCAGCATCTTCTTTGAAGGCAAGAGAAAAGTAGACAGATGGGGCATATCACCTACTCTTCCTACTTTAGTCATAAAACACATAAACACAGTCTCATCACATTACAAGTAGCTTCAGTGCTATAGTGTCACATTTTTAAAGTGTTGTAAATAGTCTGGCTTTACTGGTTTTCATTCTGTAAAAACCACTGAAACACCACTCATTTAGCAGGACAAAGAATATTTGGTAAAATAGCAAGTAAGATCAAAAACAATCCAAGTCAACAAATTCAGGTTTTGCCAGGCAGCCAGTGTTGCTTCCAACTCTCCTACTTACCACTCAAGTTCTGGGCCAACAATAATGGAGCTAAGCCAAATAGGAATTGAGGCAAGACACCAAAAGTAATGACTATCTGAAAGTGTTTTCCTTGAGTGTGTCTTTTTTTTTTTTTTTAAAACAGAGTCTCACTATGTCACCCTTGGTAGAGTGCCGTGGCGTCACAGCTCACAGCAACCTCAAACCTTGGGCTCAAGCGATTCTCCTGCCTCAGCCTCCCAAGTAGATGGGACTACAGGCACCTGCCACAATACCCAGCTATTTTTTGTTGCAGTTGTCATTGCTGTCCTGCAGGTCTGAGCCAGGTTCGAACCTGTCAGCCTCGGTGTATGTGGCTGGCGCCGTAACCACTATGCTACGGGAGCTAATTTTTCTGTTTTGTAGAAACATGGTCTTGCTTTTGTTCAGGCTGGTCTTGCTCCTGACCTCAAGTAATCTTCCTGCCTCACCCTCCCAGAGTGCTAGGATTACAGGCATGAGCCACTGTGCCTGGCCTCCTCCCAGTTATTTTAAATCATCTTGAGATTACTTTTAACATCTAATATAGCTATATAAATAGCTGTTATACTGTATTTTAAAGTTTGAATTATTTTTTATCATATTGTTATTTTTTATTGTTTTTTGTTGTTGTTGTTTGTTTGTTTGTTTTTATTGTTGGGGATTCACTGAGGGTACAAGAAACCAGGTTATACTGATTGCATTTGTTAGGTGAACTCCCTCTTACAATTGTGTCTTACCCTCATATTTTTTATTGTTTTAAAAAATATTTTTGACCTGTAGTTCATGCAATCCATGGATACAGAACCCACAGATACAGGGGGCAAATTACATAATAATCAACTGTAAACCTAGATACAGAGAATGAACTAATTAAAGAATGAAGTTATCTAGTATCACAGTATGCAGATCAAGATAGGTACTAGATAAAGAAAAAAAGGTAACTGAAGATATTTTCTTGCACTTAAGCAAGGCCCTGTGGAGGAGATAGACAATAAAAGGGTATTGAAGCAAGAGATGAAAAAGTTACAAGGAGGAAAATTCTAAAGAGAAGCTCACAGGAAAATGTTCTTATATTAGTGTCTACTTTAGCCCATGAATTTGTTAAGAAAGTATGATGTTAAAAAATAAATATTGAGCAAAGAAAACCTAAGAAAAATGTTTACATATAGGAGAAAAGAAGAGGCAAGGTGGAGGGGTCAAGAATGGCAGTGAAACTTCTCTGAATGTACTACATAGCTTGTTATATAATTTTGACATTGATATCATGTAAATTCATCAAAAAACTCAAATATTAAAAAGAAAAGCCAAAGAAGTCTTTAAAAATTAAAAACAAATGAGTCTAACCAAGTTAATGACATGACCACAGAGAGTTAAGAATTATTCCAACCAACCTTACTAGGCAATATTTTGCCTAACCACCCTCAGTGGGATATAGTCTAAAGACAAAAAGATAGAAGAACTCTTAAAATTTCATTCAGTAATTGCATTCTCAGTAGTAAAATGTGTTATTATTCTGAAACAATTATATGCATAATAGGTTAAAGCAAATGAACTGATATCCTAAGGAACCAAGATTTTCAGAATAAAAGTATTATAAAATGAAAAAAATTAAGTTAAAAGCCTTATATTGCTTATGAGTTGGTAATTGTCAAAGCTAGGTGGTAGATATTGGGATTTATTATTATTCTGTCTATTTTATTTTTTTTTTTTTGAGACAGAGTCTCACTTTGTCACCCTTGGTAGAGTGCTGTGGAGTCACAGCTCACAGTAACCTTAAACTCTTGGGCTCAAGCGATTGTCTTGCCTCAGAATCCCAAGTAGCTGGGACTACAGGCACCCGCCACAATACTCGGCTATTTTTTTTTTCAGTTTTGGCCTGGGCCAGGCTTGAACCCATCACCCCCAGTATATGGGGCCAGCACCCCACTCCTTGAGCCACGGGCACTGCCCGACTTGGCTATTTTTTTAGAGACAGGTCTTACTCTGGCTCAGGCTCAAACTCATGAGCTCAGGCAATCCACCTGCCTTGGCCTCCTAGAGTGCTAGGATTACAGGTGTGAGCCACTGTGCCCTGCCATAAAAACCATTTTAAACCTGGGCAGAGCCTATGGCTCAAAGGAGTAGGGTGCTGGCCTCATATGCTAGAGGTGGAGGGTTGAAACCCAGTCCCGGCCAAAAAAAAAAAAAAAAAAAACTACAAAGAAAAAGCATTTTAAGCCAAATAAACATTGAACTATAAAGAAAAGTTGAGGGCTGGTACCTGTGGCTCAGTGGGTAGGGTGCCGGTCCCATATACTGAGGGTGGCGGGTTCAAACCCAGCTCTGGCCAAACTGCAACAAAAAAAAAATAGCCAGGCGTTGTGGCAGGTGCCTGTAGTCCCAACTGCTCGGGAGGTTAAGGCAAGAGAATCGCCTAAGCCCAGGAGTCAGAGGTTGCTGTGAGCTGTGACGCCATAGCACTCTACTGAGGGAGATAAAGTGGGACTCTGTCTACAAAAAAAAAAAAAAAGTTGATAATAAACGTAGGGTTTTCAGTTTTGCAGAGTAGGAAGTTTGAATTAAATTAGAATATACTTGTATGCAGAATTACTACAAAGAAATACAGTAGATATGTTATTTAAAAGTTAAGACATTCAATAAAAAGAAAAATCAACTGCCAAAAAGTTAAATATTTATTAAAGTTCCTGTTTTCTGTAAAGAGATCATAATCTAGAATTTAGAAACAATTACCCAGCCATTAAACGTGGTTGATATTCTTTGACTAGAATATGATGAACTTCCAACACATGACCTGATAATTTTCCAACAAAGAAATACCAACAAAAAAGGTAGACGAGTACATCAGTTTTGATTAACATGCATGGATAATCCTAAATTTTAAAAATACTACATTGTTGACAATGTACTTTTTAAACAGTGCTATTTGTCTGTCTAATCACACTACAATTACTGTGATTATTTCAAAATGAAGTATGAGGTAAATAAGGATTGCTGGTCATGTTTTTAATGCTTTAATGTGAACATCTTATTCAAATAGTTCGCAGTAGCTTTAGATGAAATATTTCACTTTTAATGGAAAAATGTGAGACTCTGAAGTAGATCAGCAAGATTCCTCAATATCCTATCCAATGAACTCTTCTAAGTAACATGACCTTCGAATAAACCATTATCATGGCTCAATTAGATGACAATGACAGCCTCCTAGCTGGTCTCTCTGCTTCTGCAGAGATAGCAGTTACATTTTAAAAGGACTATGACATTCCTCTGCTCTAAAACCTCTAGTAAAATGTGATCTATATTCTTTTCATTTTTAATTGCTCTAAAAATAACTAACAGTTCAAAGAAATAACATTAATAATGTATTAGGTATTTATAGCATATGTAATAAGATATATGACAATAATGATGAGAGGGAAGAATTGAGAATATGATACTACAGGTGAAGTTGTGTACTATTAGAAGGTGGGCTCAAATTATTAAAAAATGTACACTGGGCTCGGTGCCTGTGGCTCAAGCGGCTAAGGCGCCAGCCACATGCACGCAAGGTGGCGGGTTCAAATCCCCAGCCCGGGCCCACCAAACAACAATGATGGCTGCAACAACAAAAAAAAAAT